AAAGTTGCCGTATTTGGGAGCAAGCCCATGCATGAATACGGAGAAATGTTCTGCCAAGCACTTAATCTGCGGATGTTTTTGAGAAGTAAATGTCTAGATCACACCTAGCCTGGTATCATCGTCTCTAGGGGGCGGCTTGCCTGCTCTTCTAACTATGCCTGTACGTCCCGAGTCCGCATAAATCGTTGCAGACTCCTATTAGCATAAGCTCATCAACTTTTAGAGATGAGGGCTGAAGATGTGATTGAAGATAAAATAGCCCACAACTCATAAGACTGACTGACATGAGGCGCAGATGTGAGATCAGTAAACGACAAGCTAATTACGCCCATACTTCGTGCCTGTGAAATTGACCCTTCTCAGTGGATAGACCACGCTTAGCAACCCGAGCTTCACATAAAAAACAGGTCACTTGGCTGATTCTCATTGTTGATTAACGCCGACTTCACGCCTTTCCTGGGTTTTCTGTTAGGTAGGAACGGTGAGCTAAAAATGGCTGTTCAATTTCTACACCGAGTCCTCTTATGGCTCGTGGTTTTAGGTCAGGCTGTAACCGAACGAGATTTCTGTTAGTACAAGTTTGGACTATGTAATTTACCAAGGCGTAGGACCGCTCCTGTGTACTCCGCAATGGACCAAGAGACTACTAAGTCACCCTGTTGGCTGAACAGTGTGCAGGTCTGATTGGCTACCGTTGATGCCTCCAATCGCAATTGGCCGCAGCGTTCATTTTGCATAAAGCGGATTTCAGCTCGCCCCAAAGTGACCGACTCATGTTTAGGTTTTCAGTTGTTATTTTGGAGTCTCTCCAGCAAGATGTTATCCGAGAAAGCACAACAAGAATGATTGCTTCACTTTCTACTTTCTAGATGAGCCACTTATTAAGTTAGGTTCATGAAGCGGCTATTTTTGGCCGGAACCAGTTTTCTTCATAATGACCTCGCCAGTCACTCCTGCTGTATCAGAACCGTAAAACTTGTTTTCAAATAGCTGCTGGATAAGATTCACTAATCACTCTATTTTCTACCGTTATCTCCAGATTTTACAAGGGAGCGGTTCCACGGCTTGGCCGAGTATGTTTGGACGTGTGCATTTCCTTTATGCTATACGATACCTTCATGGAGTACTTCGCCAAAGTCTGGCCAGATCCGAAGCCAAAAATCTAGTTGTTTTGTCCTATCAAATCACACTTTTCCTGTTTCCACTTCGCTTTTCTCATTTTCTTTGCTGTAGTTTTTTTCTATGCACTTTTACTCGACTAGATCCCCCCGGTCCTGCGTTTTATCATAATTCCTCCCGACGTATTTTATACCTCACCGGTGCTTGGGTTGTGATTTCACTCTGGTTGTGTTTAGATGTTTTCTCTTTATAACTTACTGCTGTACACAAATTCAGGGATACACTTTTTTTTATTTTAATCTGCCTGTTGTATGCATGCATGCTTATTGTCTACTTGTGTGCCTCTCTCTTCGTTTACCACAAAAATCTACTTTCGTTTTTCCGCGGACATTCTAGAATTGGTTTTCATATTTAATATTGCGTCTCGTTGGCGTTTTACAGTTTGAGACCATATTTACCTTCAGGCTTTTGGGCTTCCAACTACCGACTTAAATTAGGCCTTCAGTCCAAGTTGCCTGACGTTAGTGACTGCTTCTACCTTCCTTTTGGGAACGCTCGCCTAATCCTGACAGCCCGAAAATTGACGACACTAACCTGTTCCGCTTTCGGAGGTATTTGTAGCTTTCCTGACATCTGTTACTGCCTCTCAGCCACCTGACACCCCATGCCACCTTAAACTAGTGAAAGGTACGATGGATTGACAACTATAAAGGGGATAAATTTCAGTTTCTTTTCTAAGCGATTTAATCCTATAAACAAGGAATGCCATTTAGCCGTCATTCAGCCGGTATTCTACTGTGAAATGTGATCTTGCATTCGTCAAATTTAGAACAATGACTGAAAAGTTCGTCAAGATAGCATAACCAAACCGAGGGAGAATTTTTTTGGTTTTAAATGAGGGTTTGCCTTAAGTCCTCCCTAAACAAATCCGGTTTCGAAAACAAAACAAAAGCCACTGTAATTTCGTCTCTCTGTTGGCAGATATGTGGCAGGTGGACGTGGTGCACTTCAGGCAAGACATGCATGCTCACATAAGGGGTACGATACCTAACGCGTTTGACGCCAGTTCATGGATAGGATGCCTTAGAACTCGAAACACAATCAGAGCATGTGGTGAATCTAGTCTTACCTTCGCTTATATCAGGTAATTGATCCTCACATTCGTTCATCTTTGCCCATTGTACTTCTTGTTCTATCACGTTTAAATGGACTTTCCCATCAATTATACTGCACAATTTTAGCTACGACCTTGCAGTCCCCATTTAAGTTTTTGAAGGAACTCAGATTGTTACGTACCTTTCATTCATTTTTCATGTTATGATGCGATGGGTAACCCGATTATCGATCCCGAAACTTGCGGGTGACAGTGGATTTTTTCGTACATGCATGCTTTTGAATCGAGAACAGAGCGGTTTTTGCTTTTGGGTGCAGTACATACCAGACCGTCGAATGTCGAGGTTCCATCGAAAGTGCCCAATAACGGTGTTTTCACTCCGTAGTAACCATACCCTCTGCTACCAACTACCTGTTTGTATTTTTCCACGATGTTTTCCTTTGCAGTAAATGACTCTGATGTCCTGAACTTTTTTTCGCCAAACCATCTAAAATATATCTGAAAAGAATTGGGTCAGATGCAAAATGCAAGCCATGTTTCATGTCTTCCAGGATGTAAAATCTTTCTGGCAGCTCCAAGTTCAGCCAATCTTCCTAATAACTTCGTTTAAGAGCACGTAAGAATGGCTCATTGAGTTTTGTCTTATGTTAAACCCCGCATAGGGGTCACACTATTTTCCCTGACGCTTCTAGTTATCGGCGTCTCTAACAAAAATCTAGCATTATCAGATGCCAAAGTCTCTAGGGTCAGCGACTGAATATTTTTATCTCCTCATTAGTAGAAGCTGTATAGTCTCCGTGCTACACCTTGTATGTTCGTTTGCGTTCAGTGCGTATGGGTCAATCGCTCCCCTTATCCCAAGATGTGTCTTGAGGACAAAATCACAATCAGCGCCTAAAATGATTGCTGGCTACCGGCCATTCATTTCTACCGGAACCGGTACCACCGACTTTCTTTTTTCAGCAACAGCCCCCAACAGGGACCAGAGCAACAAGGATGACTGGGCAGTCATGTCCATCATCTTTTTACCTAGCGGGAGCGCAATCGTGTCTACCGGCAGGGAACCAGGTGTCGGAAACTGCCAGCGCATACCAGGCTGCGAGTGCCATGGTTTGCTGATACTGGCATAGCACAGGCTTACAGACCTTTTGACTTAGAAGGGCGACACGTGGACCTGCATATAGCCTGGGCCGTCGCCCTTCAAGGTTAGGTAACCAGTGGCACAGTTCACCTGAGAAGGGGCCCGGCTCCCAGTCCGCCCGGCCACATAACACACAACTGGGCGGACAGCGCTGACCGAGTTGGGGCGTCAGTCGGCTGTCTTCCGAGTCACGGCGATTGACGCACCGTCTTCGTCTCAGACTCCGATCGCACATGCAGCAGACGAGCCGCATGGAGGAGGAGCCGATACGCACACTTCCCACTTATGTGGGAGGTGACAGTTGGGTGCTTGCGGTGGACGATGTTGATGTGCGCAGAGATGCTGTGGTGCAGCCGGCAGTTGTCTACCGCAGGTTTTCGTGGATGCGCATGTGGCCTAATAGACTCATACTGCAAATAAATGTACGAGTGCAATGTGGACAGTGGAGGCGGCGAGTGTAGGTTGGTGCGCTAGGCACTGGTTCGTCAGTATCTGTGCGGTGGATCCTCAAGTAACCGACCAGGCCGATTCGTGAGGTGAATGTACGGGGACAGTGTGGACATGAGAAGTCGGCGGTGTCAATATCAACTTCGGTGATTGTGATGGTGGAGCTGGTGGTGGTGGGCGTGCTGGGCGGCGGAGTGTGGGCGGGACTAGGCACGGTGGGTACTGGATGTGTCGGGGCTGCGGTCAATTTTGCCCTCGTGGATACGCATATAGCTGAATAGGCCTATGCGGTGCATGAATGTGCGAGGACAATGTGGAAGGTGGAGGCGGATGCGACGGGTGTAGGTTGGTGCTTCAAGCACTGGCTTGTCAGGCTCTGTGCGATGGATTCGCAAGTGACCGACTAGTGCGCTCGCAACGAGGACAGGTATAGACCCGGTCCTCGTCACTGGTGTTGGCGGCGATGGTGTGTCAGGATTGTGTGTAGTGGTGATAGGCATGACAGATTTCAAATTGTCCAATTGTGACCGACAATTAGTGAGCAAGAAGCCTTACCGAAAAAATAACTGTACGGAGAGATGACAATTGGTGCAGTGCAGGTGTTGCAGTTAGTTTGGAGGTGTCCAATAAGTTCACTTAGCGTCTGGAATGTCAGTTGACATCATGGACACGTTGAAGGCGGTTGGCTGTTGGTGTTGTGAGGCGGCGGCGGCAGTTGGGATTTGCATGTCTCGCGTTGGGCTTCGAAGGTTGCTGCGCCTGTCTTCACTGTTCTCCTCAACGTAGGTCGATCCGGGGCGAGGTCCTCCCATTTTGCCGGGTTGATCTGCAGGCGCTTCAGGAAGGTTTTCAGAATATCCTTGTAGCGCCGGACTTGACCTTTTTGTCGGCGTTAAACCGTGACGACATCTTAGAAAAGTCGTTTGGGTAGCCTCTCGTTGCCCATACGTACGAGGTGGCCGCTCCAGCGTGGTTATTATTGTCTCAGTATAGCGTAGATGCTGAGGATTCCCGTTCGCTCCCCTAAGTCCGTATCGGGTATCCCGTCTTGCCACCTTAGCTTCAGTATCCGACTAAGACAGCTGAGGTGGAAGTGGTTGAATTTGCGTGTCTACTTCATGTACACCGTCCAGGTCACTGCTCCATACGACGTCGGTGGGATAACAGCCTTGTACATATTCAGTTTCGTGTTGAGTTGAAAACCGTGGAGATTCCAAACTGTGTTTTGAAGGCTACGAAGGCTTGACTGGCCTTGGAAATCCGGCGGGCCACTACATCGTCGAGTTTGGTTGTGCGGGAGACGATGCTGCCCAGATACGTGAAGTTGTCCACCACTTGCAGTTGAGTTCCGTTCACGGTGATTTGGGTTGCGACGAAGGCAGCGTCGGGTGGCGGTTGATGCATAACAACCGTCTTCGTGTTGATGACCAGGCCGAATTTGTCACAGGCGGCGGTGAAGAGATCCATTCTCCTTTGCATGTCCCCTTCTGAGCCTTCAATCTCGTACAGAAGGCCATAATCAGAGACTGCGAGGATATAACATTAAATGGACAGCTTTTGTAGTATATCAACTAGAAGGAATATAGGGTTGGGGGCACGACGTCGTGAATGGCACGCGTAGGCGGCTTGCGTAGTTCTGTTAGCCGCTGCCCCCCAATCCGCACTCGGACGTCCCGACTCTGGTCTGCCACCCGACTGTGGTGGGCGGGGAAGAGACGGTGCGGTAGATGCTGCGCAAGGCCGCCTTACTATAAACTACTAAACGCGTGAGTCATCACTCTGTGCCCACCAAACTGTGGAGCTGACGACAGGCATCGTCTTTCACGACGACCGAACTGTCAATGACACTTGTGTTTTCGGCAGATTTAAGTGATTCGTTCAACCCAATTGGGAAAGACGCGGCGGCCTCGGTGGGATTCGAAGCCACGACAGCAACAGTAAGGCGTGAGTACGGCAAACCCTCGAATTATATAAGCTACGAAGCCCCGCATGAAGTCGCGAGTTTAATCACACCTGGACTACTCACATTTGCCTAAACGCCTATTAATTAAGTGAGCCTAGAAGTCATCTAGTGGATTCTAAATACGTTGCAGTAGACTGGACGAATGACTTGACCTAAGCGTGATTAAACTAAAGGCTCATGGTGGGGTCTCGTAACATTAAATTCAAGGAACAATCGTTGCTCTTTTTTGAAATATGACCGTCTACTAACCGCATTATAAGTCAGTGTGTCTGTGGGAGATCTTTATAGATCGGCCCATTTTAAGATGAAAAAACCCTCTCTAATGTTCTTCGAGACGAAGACTGTGTTGATGTTTAAGAAAAATGTAATTTACAGAGGTATTCAACGCAAGTATGAAATTACGAAAGAGACGATTGATTTTTGCGAACCTCCAAATGCACTTTTGGAACCCTAGTTTTCCGTCGATTGTTGGTGCACTGTCGGTTTCAACTCCACAACATTGTTTTTGATGCCTTTCGTTCTCGAAATCCATTTATCATTGGTAAATTTGTAAACCTTGCCGGTTACTGGATCTTCTATTTCAACCTTAAAAGAAGAGACGTTTGTCAATTTTCATGAAAAACTGTAAATTTTCATATTCAAAGAATGCATTCGTAGGGAAGAGCTTTTCCTATATCGCCAGTAGTATTGACAGGGTCTATTAGGGGCTTAATATCTATTGAATTCCGGCAGTTCACCCTCATAAGTTGGACATTTTACGCACTGTTAAAGTGTCTGGGCTCGATCGTTTACTGTAAACTCGTCCAACAAGGTGACCGATTTTTAAAAAAAACCTTCTGTTCACGCACATGGTTACGTGCAATTGTTTATAATTTGCATACCAAACAATAAATGTGTGTGTAATCAAGTTCAGCACCCAAAGAGGCCTTCATCAAAGATAAGCAATCTGTCAACTGTCACCCAGCAAGACCCTTCGGCATTCCCATGCGTCAAACATGACGACGCACATTGATTTAATCTCTACAACAAGTAAGTTGACTTCTTCACATGGCTGTCTTGATTCTCGATGGCTTTTAACCCACTCACGGAAAATCGTCCTCGCATTACTTATGCTGATTGAATTTCTGTACCTTTAGTTTCTTGGTCGCATTAAACCGGCTGGTTTTATCTACTTTGTTGCTAATATGTGTGAAACGAGACTTTCCTCTGCTACGCCTTAGAAAGGGATGAAGTTCCTGGAAGAAGCTGATCCTCATATACATAGCATGCTTCCATGATACTTCAAGCATAACGGTTAGAGCCAAGGATACGGCGTTTTTTCTTCCGACTTTTTGAACAGAGGAGATGCTTTCGTGTGCATAAAACTGCCAGCGTTCGGCATTATCTGACTTCAGGTTTACTGGCCAGCATGTACCAGACTTGTTTGCTCGAAGATGCAGAGGAGTTGGACAGCCGCAAATGGGAGCAGCTGTGGAGTTTCTAAGCAATTTCGTGCATTCTACACATGGACATGAGTTAGGATAGAAAGATCCGATAATAATAGCTTCATAAAAGTGGCGTTATACTCTCCTAGGGATCTTGAAGGTCAGATAAATAACGGTGGAGTACACTTAAAGATGTTCAGTCTGCATATCTAACCCTGACTTTTCAAGCACACAATGCTTAAAGGTGACTGCTTTCAGACTATATGCAGATAGATACACGTTTCTGAACCCCTACAGTATCAGGAGGTGCTGGGAAAATATATCACCCCTAAACTAGGTATACTGCTCATACCTCTTGCTTGCCGTAGCCTTATTTTCAACTTCCGGTTGTCCTATCTAGACGCCGGAGGCAACGTGTCGATTCGAGGTCTCGGATGGACTAAAGTGTGACCACGACTCCACTAGATGCAGTCGAAGGTCCGAAAGCACCGAGGTCTATTTTTCGTAACGACAAATATTTTCTAAAAATCTTCCAATTAAAAGAAATCTATGATATACACACGACTGCCAATGAGTGCTAGTTATTAGAAAGACGGACCAGTTGCCATTTAAACTTACAGTTCGTAAATTCCAGTGAGGATATCGACCACTGTTATCGTGCCCCACACGCACCGCAGTTATCACCTCTATATGAGGGGCTGGAAGTAAGTGCACTCGCACTCGAGTGCAGCATCCGAATACATTTTCCTGGAAATTTCCCCTAGCATACGTTTTGTATAGGTCAGGTTCGGCTAGGGCATTGTTAATCCAATGGCGTCTCCCCAATACACCGTATCCGCGCAGTTGTAGGAAGGGTTTTGCGGTCAGCTCTTCAATCTGCTCATTTCCCGTTTCAAACGTAATGATATATCGCACATCTAAAAAGAGATGTAAATCAATCGATGAAAAAATAGTTGGCCCGACTCTCTCTCACCAACCATCACTTAAGGACTTTATTATCCTTCTATGTCGACTTGTATGGCAGTGTTGAGGATTTAGATACCACACGATTAAGGATTGCCTCAGCTCAAAGGCTTTAATTATTGCTCATCAGCATATGCTCTTACCAACCCAGCGGGAGATTTGAATCCAGAAGTACGTGTATATTAAAAATGTCGCCTATAATGCCATTGATTATCGACGGAGAGTTCTAATCAGAAAGGTAATTAGAGTTCGGCAAAACCTCAGCAGTTACGAGTCAACTACCACATAACTAAAAAAGTAGGTTTTAATCCACGGCGTTCACTATGAGAGAGGTGTATAAATCTGTCAGCTGGTAAATGTGGGACGGAAATGAGCGCTTTCACTGCCCTCCAGTCCGGGTCCAATTGTGACCGACAACTAATGAGCAAGAAGCCTTGCTGAAAAATTAAGTTTAGTATGATCCATCCTTGTCATAGTACATGGCACGGAAAAAAGACTTGACATGAGATTCGGTTTACTTAAAATACATTTGAAAAGTTTCCTGAGCAAATTTAGGAATTATGCGCACATAAGACATGGGGAAAATGGATATCAGCTGCTCATCACATACATCCTTCCAAAATATGCGCGAACAGTACATAAGTTGCGCGAACGCGACAGTAGCAAGTACGGTGTGAGCAAGTGCTTAAACATGAGCAACTCAATAGCGATTCCCGTCAAACATATCGGTGAACCTGATGATACGTCTACTCCGTCCCCCCTGACATCCAGCTTTCATCTGTGGCCTCCGGAAGTCGACATCAACACAGCGGTCCCAGCCCGGTAATAACTTCAACCGGCGGGCGTTGGTAGTCCCCGAACTAATCGCCATCCTCCATTCCCACCCTCAAACAAAAGGTCCTTCGTGGAGACAGACATGCAATACTGTCGATCATCCAGACTAATTCGGATCGTATTCTTTCTAAAAAAAGAATGACATACTGAATGATTCACTATGCTGGCAACACAGCTACTAGCTACGAACTAACATACGTGTTTCCTCATAGTCATCTAGTTGAATTTGGCCGTAGTCTGTGATGATTAAGCAGCTGTTTTTGAGGTTAAAACTACTAATCATCGGGCAATGGAGGGGTATGGAAAAAGCGCCCTAAAACTGTTGATAAAACTCCGGTATCAATTTGGCGGTGACTTATGGACGCTAAAAGTAGACAGAAAAACTAACTCATGAAACTTGATGGCAGAATTCGATATGAGAATTTCCGGACGCCTTAAACGTTGCCCATTTTGCTGGCTCGTCCGCGCCCTACAAAAAAATGCAGCTTTCTTGTGCAGAAAATATGCCTACGCAATTTTATTAAGAAATATGTTAGTACATTTGAGAAAAAATGGACGCACTGATACATTCGGACAATTCACTATGCTAATACCTGTCCTAGACTTCGATTGCGTATCCGAAAGTGTTTTCTTCGAGAGGAGGGTAAGTGACCCTCGAGAGATCTACTAAGTAGAGCATGCTGCACTTGGAAAATGATTTTTGTCTGATGCTAACCGTGAGAATCGGTTTACTGACACGGACTGTTGTTAAAGATTAGAGAGTTTTATCGATTTTTGAGGGTCATACTGGCAAATCTGTGGGGTTGCATGCCCTAACAGTGTAGTACTAAAGCACATAGGCAATCCTTCGTTTGAATGGACCAAAAGTGTTCTGCCATTTGGAAAGTTCTGTGGGTTGACACCAAAACAACCATAATCGAATAGTCACTCTCAGTTTTAAACATACGAAAAATTTCTTTTCGCGCAACCCAGTTTCTGTATATACGTGATTTGGTAATGGAATCAGTAAAAAATTAACAGTTTCAACGAGATATCAGTATTTATACGGCCACTCTTCCGTGCATTCATAACAGTAGAATAGAGCCGTAAAGTGGGTAGAAATAGCGAAAATGGTTTCATTATAAAGAGGGAGTATGTTCTTCCGTTTGCGGTGGAAAATATGTATGTATTTTTCAGCAACGTGAAAGAAACGGCCAAGTGTCAAATTTTTTTAGCTTCGTCGTGCAAAAATATAGTAACACAGAAATCCGTTAACGGAATGTAGTATTAGAGCACTCCATTAA